CTGCAGAGCGAGAGCGAAGTGCTCTAATAGGGTGATATGGTACTACAAGGTCATTAAGATAAGATGGGACCTGATTATTTAAGACCTTGTATGTGAGGAGCACTGATGCTGTATCCACAGGAAAATAAACTGTGTCTGAAGCAGGAACGTCGCACAAATGCAGAAACCTCAGCTTTAGTTTTGGAGCCTGCCGTATTCATTTTAGACAATTCTCTGTTTTTAAACAGCAGGCCTGCTCGATGAGCACGCGGCCTCCAGGTTTATTACGAACGCTGATCAATACTTTGGAGCTAGCAGGCAGACGTGATGAAATGTACTTGCTTTGTCATTTTGCAAAGGAACCCCGCTGCTGTAGGCCTACAATCTTCAGAGCACGTTGTGTGAATATGAAACAGCTTCAAAGTGCTGACATCAACAAAGGCAAAAGGGCATTGTGCCAGCGATATAGATTTTTAGGAGCCTGAGATTATTTCTTCCTTTGATTAATAACTGCAGATCACTTTGCACAACACACCAAATCCAAAAAACAGATGGTGCGCTATGAGCTGGTGTTGAGGCTCTGTGGAACTCACGATGCTTTTAAGTCTAACGTAGAATAGAACTATATCTGTGAATCTAATAATTAAGCCCTTAGTGATGCCGCTCATGTCTGCTGTGGCCCGAGCAATAGAATCGAATCTACTGTCTTGATTGGGGTCGCCACCCGAAACGTACGATGTGCTAAATCTCTCCTCCAAGCGAGATTGAAGTATCTGTCAATTACTAAAGTGGAGTTTCATTGCCTGATGCCACTGTCACAGACTCAATTCAGTATCCCTGAGTCGTCCTGCAGGTCTCCAACAGGGAGTCAGATTCATTTAAGACGCACATCGATTATTCACAAGTCTCCAGACAGTCGATCATTTCCCACTCAGGGTTTGTGGCTGTGTTTGGTTTTTGTTGGGAATGCAGAAGTAGGCTGCGTTTCCTTGACGTGTCTGATTTGCTTTTGCGACGCGTTGCAATCGTTTTCGGCAACGTGACTTGAAAATAGGAAAGTAATCATAATTATTGGTCAAATAAAGTCTGAGTTTCACATAAAGCCGTGAACCGTTCTGATTCTCCAGGTAGCGGGAATAAAAGGAATGTTCCTCGCCAACAAAAGGACGGACAACCAAGTGAAGACGTACATCACCTACAACAGAGGCAGAGACTGGAGGTTACTGCAGGCGCCGAGCAAAGACCTGAGAGGCAACAGCATTCACTGTGTGCTGGTGAGTTTCTTTGCATCTGCCAGCGAGATGCGTTCATACATGTTTTTATATGTGTGCGCTTCCATCAAAGAGAGGTCTTGACAGGGGTTGACTGATCCCAGCAGCAACGAGAGCCCGAGCTCGGAAAGAGCAGCGCCCGTCAAAGCTGAGTGCTCTGAGGCTGCTCAGCTGAAAGGTCAGCCATTTTGATTCAGTCCAATAAGCTGACCTCCCATTTAAAGAAAGACTTGTCAGACAGAAAGGCTTTTCTGTATTTTATCTGCCTTCCTTCCTGAGAGCCTCTAGAAAGTTGGAGGCTTCTCATACTCTAGTGGAGTTTTCACTCACTAGTAAAGTTCAGAATTACAAGTAAACAACCTACCCTTGAAAATGGAAACCGCTTATTTCTTGTAGCCCATTTTTCTTTTCAATGCCTTACCTCTTTGTGTATTTCTCTGTTAAATGAAATGTTGCAAAACCAGTGACTCAAAGACAACAGCTAGGTAAAGAAAGCACAAAAGTCCTGAGCATTTGTAGAGTTATGTCAATACTCCAGCAACCTTGGATGGTAGAACCACTTCTGCAAGAATCATAGCAAAGCAAGACATTTATACAGAGGCCAAAGATGCAGTCAGTCAGTGGATGGAGTACAGATTGTA